GTAAGGCTATACGTAATTAAGACTTCTATACTTAAAGCATATTCTTTCTCCTCGTTATAAGATTCGTAAACCATTAACGATCGGATGCTTCGACGTCTTTTTATTAGGGACTACCCGGGATATATTCCCAGAGCCTTGGTTACTACCATTGCCATACGACTACTATCCTTATGGATACTACTAAGGTTGCTGCTATTAACTACTAGAGGCCTAAGGTAGAGCTAGCTAGGCTCCCGGGACCTACTAAGACCACTATATTAGGCCTTAATTCGGATATGGATAAGGAGGATATAGCGAATAAGACGTAGGAATCGGGTAAGGTATAATCTATTATACCCGTACGTATAAAGGCGGCGCCGTTAGGGGTTAAGGTAGCGTCGTAGTAATAACCTTAGGAGCTAATACCTAGTTAGGATGCTCGTTAGCGATAGCTTACTTAATTAATAAGCCTATCTTTTCTATAATAAAGCGTTCGATTAAGTTCTCCCGCTCCTTTAATTATTATTCCTTAAGCTATTCTTTCTTAAGGTTTACGACCTTCTAATAACCTTATATTATGCTATATACCTCCTAAAGGGCTCTAAATACGTAAGCGGCCTTCTCGAAGGCTTCCCTTTTTAGGTCCGGATCCCTTAAACCGTTTATAAAGCGTATAATTACTAACTTAAGTATATAGGTTTCGAGGATAGTTAGGTTATCGGTACCGTTTAAGCGTAGAACTTAAAGGAAATCTCTCGATTCCGTACGTTTTAATAACTCCTATACCCTAATATAATAAGAGGTAAGGGATTCTTCTAAGCCCTAGGAAATGTTAACGATTTCGTTTCGTAGGTCCGATTAATTAGCCGTTTTAAATGGAAATCTTTCCCTTAAGAGCTACTAAACCATAAGTAAATCATTCTAGGTAGCCATTCCTTACCTAACGAAGTCTAAAGTACGTCGGATACGAGAATTACGATCTAGAAAGGCCGCTATCTCTCCTTTATATAAAGCATTTATAGCTTAAAGCTTATTAAAGCTAGTAAACTAAGTAGCTAGCTAATCTAAAGGCCTACGTAAGTAGTATAAGCCATCTAGACGCTGCTTTACTACCGTTAAAACGACTATATATAGTTAAGTCGGGTAAGGCTTACGGAGGGATCGGTTCTTAAGGATCTGCCATTACGGAGAGTAACGAAGCTATGGAGAATAGCGAGAAGGACGACGAATTCGATAAGCAAGGAAATAGTAGCACGTTTTCCTCTAAAGGAGACGAAGATAACGAAGTAAACGGCGATAAAGGGGGTTATTCTAACTATAATGGATCTATTATTAGATTTAACTATTCCTAATTCGAAGGTCTTAATACCTCTGTTTCTAACGTTAACTAAGACTAAGGGAATATTCCACGGGGAACCTTACCTAGGTTCTTAAGGTCCTATAAAAGGTCGTCTAGTTCGGGACTTCCGGAATTTAGTAAAAACCTAGTTACTTTCGCTAGGTAGGGGTGCCCTATAGCAAGGAAAGAATCGGCTAAAGCTTTAAGAAGCTCTAGGTTTCGGTTATAAATAGTAGCGATATATAGCTCGTCGGATATAGGAGAAAGGGAACTGCCTTCTCCTTCCTTCGGTATATCCCGCCGGTAAATAGCATCGGCAACGAAGGGACTAATATACCCTAAAATAAGGCTCGAAAACGAACTAAGAATGCCTCTTTCCGATAGAAAACGACGAATTAAAGTATTGCCTTTTGGTAGATAATAACGAAACGAGAGTACTCTTATACGAGCGAAACGAACTATCTAGACCCTCCGCGCGGAGAGGTCAAAACGGGGTAAAACAACGAGAAAAACGACTAAGTATACCCGTAATCTAGATGCCTCCTACTGCCTGGGTTCGATCACCAGCTAGATGGAGTGTAAAACGTACTTGATTCCTAAAACCTCCTATCTAAGATACCCTTGCTGAACAACACCCTTTGACTCTCGAGGGTTGCTTATATAATGTGTATTACATAATCAGGAGAGCTCCCACTTAGCTATCAGTCAGTTTATAGGATTAAGAATCAGTTGAAAAGGATCGGTAAAAGACAGCCATGGACGAGAAGGACGGAGATCACGTTGCATCGTATAGGATTGTTTCTTTCGTTTCTCACGGGAGCTACGCTTATTTTACCTGCCCCGTTATAGTTTACCTATTTCCTAACTATTGATCCCTATTGTTTCTTAATGGCCCCAATGGACCTGGCTCGCTCCTAGTTAATTAGGGTTAATTAGGAATAGGTTGATTAGGTTAGTTTATAGGTTTACAGCTCCGCCAGCCCAGTTGTTTTTATTAATTAATCTTTCCTATTATTTCCTGTTAATCGTTGATTAAACTGGCTTAGCTCCCATTTAGCAGCGATTAAACAGGTTCGGGATTAATCAGGTTCAGGATCAGGTACAGTCAGGCACGGTTGCAGTTACCTACCCCACCACCCACTTATTGCTGTTGCAATCGTTCCTAGTTGACCTATTTCCTAACTTATCCTATTAGCCTTTGATTAAACTAGCTAGCTTTTAGTTAATTAGGGTTAATTGAGATTAGGTTAATTAGGTTTAACAGGAACGAGAGCCACCGTACCTATTATTAGGAGTTTAATTACTCCTTACAGATTAATTAAACTAGGGAGGCTATAGTAGTACGGTGGATCTAGGCTACGTAGCCTTTTCGATGTCTATTTATATAAGTCGCGTACTTATATTTTCATTAGTTAGACTTAGACCTATAGACATTACGACTTATAGCTATTTACTCCTTTTGCTATGCCTTTTCTCGCGATCCTCGTTACCCTTTTCTAGTCCCTTCCTTCCTTTAGTCCCTTTCCCAGCTGCCGTTTTTAGCTAGCCGATCAACCGATTATAGCTATTTATAGCTATGATCTTAGTTAATCGGCACTAGGCCAGTTATTGATAGTTAGGCAGTCCTTGTTTCGTGCCTCCATCATAGCGTACCTACGCTGCTCCTGTTCAATATTCGTAAATATATGTAATAAACGATAAGGACAATACCTTGTTACATTATAATATATATCCTAAGGATCGTAATATAAAATTCTTACTTCTTAATATTAATATTCTTATGGGTATTAACCGGGTTAGTAACAAGGTTTATATTCACAGTATAAAAATTGCAATAAAGCTTTATATATTGCGGTTTTATAGAATACGTATTCTAATGTAGTGGAGTATTATTCCGCGGATATATTCGGTATTTAAGGTAAAGGCCGAGAAAAGTAGGAGGAAGGTTACGACTATAAGAGGGAATTTGTTTACGGGTTATAAGTTTAGAGCTATAGACGACGCTACTTCCAGGGTTAGTTACTTTAGATTTATTTCTACGTATATATCCTTTTTATTAAAAGATATACAGAATTTATTTATTAGTTAATTAAGAAGAAATAACGACGTAATATACTTTTAGATAAGAGGTAGTATTTCCGCGTAAGTATTTAGTTATAATTTTATCCTTTCGAGTTTTAGTTATTTATTTAAAGGAAGTTAAAGGCTCGTTTAAGCGGTATTAATAACTTGAATCAAATTAATCAAGAGAATGAAGTAAAGTATAATCTTTATATTATAATTATTATTAAAGTTTTTTATTTTTTACTTAAGCGAGATGTTAAAGTTAGTATTTTGTACGTTATTAATAGGTTAAATATTATTAATATTATAGTAGTGCGGTGGATCTAGGCTACGTAGCCTTTTCGATGTCTATTCATATAGGTCGCGTACTTATATTTTCATTAGTTAGACTTAGACCTATAGTTATCATAGCTATCACTAGTTATAGCTATTTACTCGTTCCTTGCCATGCCTTTCTAGCTATCCTCGTTACCCGTTTCTAGTCCTTCTTCTTTCCCTTTCCCAGCTACCGTTTTCAGCTAGCCGATTAACCGATTATAGCTATTTATAGCTATAATCTAGGTCTGATCGGCACTGGGCTAGTTATTGGCAGTTGGGCAGTCCTTTTTTCGTGCCTCCGTTAGCGTGCCTACGCTGCTCCTGTTCAATATTAAAGTTCCGGATAGCTTATTCGAAAGTATATTCTATCGGTACCTATAATACGTACAATAATCTATAATAAATAAAACTAATATTACTTTATTAATCGAAGGGTAAGAAATTTAATATAATTATCGTATCTTAGGTATATCTTTTGGTTATAGAGATATAGTAATCGTTAACCTAAAGGTAAAAGAAATTAAAGGAGGAAAGGAGCTAAATATAAAAGTTACTTCTTCGGTTATTACTGAACAGGAGCAGCGTGGGCACGCTGACGGAGGCACGAAACGGCTACCCAACTGCCAACAACTGGCCCAGTGCCGATTAACCTAAGATTACAGCTGTAAACAGCTGTAATCGGTTGATCGGCCAGCTGAAACGGCAGCTGGCAAAGGAGGCTAGAAAAAGGGCAACGAGGAAGGCTAGAAAGGCATGGTAAGAAACGAGTGAATGGCTGTAGGCTGTGATGTCTACATGTCTAAGTCTAACTGATGAAAATATGAGTGCGTGACCCATATAAATACACATCGAAAAGGCTACGTGGCCTAGATCCACTGCACCACTACATTACAGTATAACGAAGTAACTTAAGCGCTCGTAATTAAAATAAATATATTAATCAAAAGACGACGAATTTAATAATAAAACCGAATCTGAAATAAAAATAAAAATAATAAAGTTAATCATTTAATTAAATAATGATCTTTATAATAATCGTAATATAGTCTGTACTCACGAGAGCTATAGTTACTTTATATAAGTATAAAGCCTATCATAGCATATTATATAATATATTAAGATTGCATATCTTACTATACTACTACAGTATCCTTTAAAAATAACTAGTTTAACGTATTATAACTATCCCCCGGATAGGATAAATACTTATGTAAAAGGCTACGTGGCTTAGTCTTACCGTACCACTACAATATATTTACCGCTGCTTTTAATTAATAAGAGCTCTCGAATACGTATTAGATTAAAGTTATGAAAACGCAAAATTAAAAGTAAACCTCTATATAAACTATAATTATAATATCTTAGGAATAGCTTTAATATTAATAGAAAGCGGTAAGCTCGAAGTTAATAACTTTTAGCGTTTTTTTAGTAAGATAAGGGTGGCCCGAGGTGGGTATAGCCCGTAGTCACGTAACAGATGGTAAGTTTTCTATCCATACCGTAACTTGACATTTTCACAACTCATATATCACCGCCGGCCACAAACTATCAAATTTACCCTCTTTTCGTTACATTCCCTGATACTGAGTCTCGTGGCTTCACGGACCTCGCCTTAGATGTAGAACATTGTATTCTCCAATCTCCCGTGGGTCTTTACGAAAGATTGCTCTGAAGAGACCCCAGTCCCGCTCGCGATGACTTCGTCTCCCGCCACGGACACCGTTGTCGAATTGGACGGGGTCAAAAACTTTGCTATAGCATCGAGCACGCTCACATAGAATGTCGGCGTAGTATGCGGGCGTGCAGTAGCTCACAGCCTTGGTGGCGCGGCCAAACACATAGCACATGCTCTGAGTCAGCTCTTGCAGTTCGTCGGCGATATTTTTTCCTGGTGTGGTAGCTGGGGTCTTGCCCTTATTACCTGCGCCGGTATTTCGGCGGCGGAAGATCTCATCTAGCACAACAAAGTAGTGTGCTGGTCGTGCCGTGCCCTGAAGTGCGGTGTGGGCTTGTAGGAAGAAGTCCCAGCTCCGCGCCTCGGTGACGCCTCGGTCTACCACGGTGCCGCCGGTCGCGTGTTGCCTGAACGGTCGGCGTCGGTCTCTGCGGTTGGGTAAAACGCGTGTGGTGACGCTTACCAACTATGACTATAGTCAGGCGTGGGAGTCCTTTGCTTTGGTCCGGGATAGAATAGACTTCCCGGCATGCGGCGCGAAGTAATGGGAGCTCCTCATCTAGGACTTTCTGGTACTGGCCCTCTGAAACACCATCCCGATATACAAGTATATTCTCGGGAAGGGTGGCATGCTTCCCTTTCTCGCGCCATAAATGGAGGCGGGACTTGAGCATGCTTTGCAGGTCCGAGACCATCTCCTGGCGACGTTCCTTTTGGATACTCAAGATACCAGGCCACTGACCCAACTGGCTGTTAATACTGGCTACCATACCTGCGACGCTAGGAGCCATCGAGCTCGATCCCGGGGAGGGGTGAGTTACGTCGATACCGACGATCATGGTTTTGTTTTCGGCGACCAGAGCTAGATTCGCGGGACTGACGATATGGTTGTCGCCACCCAGTTTCAGGTTAAGTTTAAGAGCCTCGTTACGGAAGTACTGGTCCTGGCCCGAAAGTTTCGCAATTTTCGTGCCGACGCTGCAAATGGTGTGGATACCGTACTTTACGTCGCCCAGCTGCTTAATGCGGTCGTAAAGGGGTATCGGACTGGCCGGCAGGATGATACACAGCAACTGCAACGATGAGGCTGCACGTTTGATGAAGTTGTCGAGTTTGATATCATCTGTATCGCTCAGTTGGACCTGCTGTGGGGAAAGGGGGGGACTTGCAGCAATCCCGGTGTCCTTAAGGACAGAGTGGAACCCTCCTATTAGGCTCGCGAGGCTTTCGGGCGTGAACTTTTGAGCTCTCGGGTACAAGTTACCCTCCATTTCGATATACAGACATGACCATCTTTGCAGGACGGTACCAGTGTGAAACTTGAGACTCGCTGAGTTACGTGGCACCAGGTTCCAGCCACCAGCCATTACCTGGGCTTGCTGGTTTTGCTTGTATACGATCTTTGGCGGGGAGAGAACACGGGCCGAGACAGTAATGAGGTCGGGCGAGACGGTGACCCCAAATTGCGACTGAAAAGAAAAACATGGTCAGCCGAGTAATGAAGGTGACTGATTCAGGAGGAATATACCAATCGTGGGTTTGTGTCGGGGGACAAGCCCGATGTATGCCGTCCCTTCATAACAATAGACCTCGCATTCTCAACGGGTCTGCGAACTGCAAACCGAATCATGTTCTGTGTCTCGGCCGGGCCGAGCTTGGTTTTGGCAGGTTGGCCCGGTAAAACATGGCAGACCTGGGCCGGCATGTACGAAGGGTTGTCCCTATTCCCAACGTTGATTACGGGAAGGGTGACATCCGCGATACGAATCCCATGTGCTGCGTTATCGTCAACAACCATCACCCTCCTCGGATGGAGCTGGGCATGACTTACTAGACAGGAAATGGTCAAACACAGAAATATACTTGCCGCCGGACGCGGCAGTCTTTCCCTGGGACCTGGTACCCTTGCCACCCTTTTTGCCCGCGGGCGTCTGTGTCGACGGACCAGCCGAGACGTTCTTTTCATCCAGCCAAAATTGCACCTCCTTCGCACCAGATCCAAATCCCTTCACTATAGGGGGGTGTCCTAGGCTATGTCCATCGTTCTTGTTTGCCACTCCAGAAATGGTCTTCGCTCGCAATATGACCTTACCGGATTTGTTGTGTCTGTCTTTGAGGTGGGTGACCTTAATCCTCAGCCCCTTCAGGAAGGCTTCCAGCCTGCGTGGATCTCTCCGCAACCCAGATTTGGCGATGAGTGCATCAAGACGGTCCTCCTGATAAAAGGCACCATGGCTGACATTGACATTGACAAGGACCCGAGCCGTGGCTGCGCGTACACTCGCGAAGAAGCCACGTAAGGCGATGAGACAGTCGCTAAGAATCCATGTATCAGATTCGTTACTCAAGGAGAACGTTTTCGATGCACCGATGGTAGCAAGGTTCCCGGCAGACTTAGCGTAGTGGTTCAAAAAGATATTGAGAGCCTGTATCACTGCCAGCTTGTCATCGTAAGTGGCGGACAGGTTTGTGGAAGTAAGGTACTCGGTTAACGCGGAAGCTTCTAGGACCTTGATAAAGTCCAGCTTGACGGTATACTGACGAGCACCAGGGCGAGGCTCGTCCTCGTCCTCTCCTCTGTATTCAACCTGGACTTCTTGGATCTCAAACCTACGCCGCGAGATGAGAGTCGACCGGAAGTCGGTGGCGATGTCGGCTTGGAATGGTAATAGGTCTGGTGCTTGCAGAAGCAGACGTATAACCTGGGTCAGCTTTTTCCCCGTGGCAGCAGGAGTCACAGATATATGGTATTGCTGCAGGAGAAGTTGCCGTGGGGTGTCGAGGACGAAGTAATTTGCCCAAAGTACGACGTCCGACCCTTTTACCCCGTAGCTGGGGCGAGTGGGAAATCCATCTGCAAGGCTCGGGTTTCCGAGGTTAAGCGATGCTTTGCCGGCCTGGAGAGCGTCTTCGACCTTCCTGACCATCGCATCAGGCGGCGGGACGCCACCCGAGGGCCTATGGCGAACCCGTGTAAGGATAAATCTTTAAGTAGGCGCATCTAGATGGGCTGGTGTCACTTGCCTGAATACCTCTGAGGATCCAAACCCACCACCACGACTACCCTGAAATGACCCTCCTCGCCCATGAGGCGGCCCTCCTCCTCCACGCCCATGAGGCGGTCCTCCTCCGCCGCGACCTCGCCCATGGGGTGGTCCTCCTCCCCACGCCCTCGACCACCCGGCCTACCTTGACCTGACATGACGAGCGGTAATTCTTCGAGCTGCTTGGAATCCCCGATCCGATGAATGGGAAGGAGGCGGGTCTAGTTGGATGTTGTTTTTGCTGAGATGTAAGACGAAGTTTTACAGACAGCATGTCTTAGGTAGCCTTGCCTAAGTGACACGTCAGGCCCACGTGAATGGTTGGATTGTGTTATTCCACCAACTCATACCTTTGTAGAAATGTATTATTTGCTCCATTATATCAACATTAACGAGAGGCCGGTCGATATATAAAACTTGAAGTCTTTCTTTATATATATTATATATATATCAAAGAGATATCTTTGATTCTAACTAGACATAACATGTTTACTATATTGATATTAAAACCATAATTCTTTTTCTAAAAAGGAAACATCTTTTTATTTATTATCGGCGGTTAACTACTTTATCTAACCTACTTGTTGACGTGTTATAGGTTATTTACTGACAAGTAATATAGTACACATGGTGCATATAATCCCATACCGTTATGTGTTGTTACTCACCCTCTCTAACCTACTGGGTAATTTACTCACAATCTGACAGCAATAAGGTGACATATATTCAATACCAACGTGCCTGGGAATTCCTCAGTTCTCCTTTCTCCAGTTTCTCTCTCCTCCAAGGTGGACTTGAACTAGAATCCATTCGTTCGTTTACGCTCTAATTCTATTTATTGCAAGTGTTCCCTACGTTATTTAGTATTCCCAGAGTAAGTACCTGAAACCCAACTGGCTTTTCTGGAGGCTCTCTCCTCCTGTTTATTCTATGTTTTATCTGGAACTGGCTCATTGGAGACGTAGCTGGCTCTCATACTGATATGGCTGCCTTACGAGAGGCTCCTTTCCCGGCCCTGGAATACGAAGTTGAGCACTACCCCTAGGAAAAGCGCAGAGCATAGAACGGTCGGCCCTAATCTATCATAATATTTAATGATCCTGCGCTCGCGGATCCCCCTGCTCCGGTACAAGTAGATGCCGACAGAGTAGCATAGCGACACGATAGCTAGAAGAGTAAATATACCAGAGACGACGAAAGAGAGCGTATTAGGTTTCGCGCCAAATTGAGCAGCGTGACTGCGATCGTACCGATATAGATGGAGAACTCGAGCTAGAGAGACGTTAGTAAGACGGAGATACCGCGCCACTAGAGAAAGTTACGTACCCAACCAAGATAGGTCCTCTCCGCTGCAAAATAGACCTTAGGCTCGACCCTGACTGGAACGTATATCCTTTTCCCTCTCGGCGCCTTGAACCTCTTGGTTTGGATATCTGCGTCGCCGAAGAACATCTGTGTTCGATTGCTACGAGGTACGATCGAAGCTCGAGGACGCGGCGCAGCGCTCGCCAGTGCGGCCCAAGCACCGCGGCTAGCCGCTCCAATGTACCTGTTTGCAATGCTCGAATAGTACGCCCATCCACCAATTCTCCTCGCCTCCTCGAGGGCATCCTCCTCATCCACTTCATTATCGGAATCATAGAGGGAGTAGTCTTCGTTGGGGACTGTGCAAGTCCCGGCTGTCTGCCCTTCAATGTCCCCCACGACAAGCGCCTGGGTACCTCGTGAAAGACCGTTTCCGGCATGTGGGTGGCCCGAGACGCGGGCTCGGTAATTTCCCCAGCATCCGAATCTATGTCGTCATCGTCATCGTCATCTGAGGTCGTGCCACTGGTGTGTGAGTGTGTCGGGCGGTGAATACCGAAGTCGTGAGTTACTGGTTTGCGAATGTCCATATCCATCTGTGGCATCCAGTACGGAAGCAGGTTAATCTTATCGGGGAAAAGGCAGGCGGTGCCGTGGATGAATTTCGAGAACTTCGGGACGGCCTCTACAAGGTGGCTAGAGATGAGTTGACGAACCCACTCCGGAGGCTCCTGTCCATGTTGGGTTTGGAGCTTGACCTCTAGAACGGCGTATGGGAAACGCACAACGTCCCCGGGGGACAATTGCGAGAAGGGATAATCGATGCCGATGTCCATTCGCCTCCAATTGCTCCCGGATCGTTTAAAACCATCCAGGTTGTCTTCCCGAATCATCGTCAGCTCGGTATCGAGCGATATTCGAACGCGTGCATCGGCTGGTAACTGAAATGCGGTGCGGTTGTAGAACGATCTGCAAACGGGTCTATACCCGTTCTTTAAGACGGAGTACTGTATCTCTTTCGCTAGGGTCTCATCTTCAGCGATGAGCTTTTCGGATTTCTTTGCCGTCCTTACGAGCTTTTTCGAACAGGGCGGTTGGGAGGAGGTCACCCCTCAGATATCCATTGACATTCTTCTCTTTCGTGGAGAAGCGAGCCTTCACGGACTTTTCCCCGGTCCAATCTTCGCGGTGCGTCTTGCGCTCAACAAAGATGGTGTCGGATTGCATGCCGCCGTACCATCTCAGGCGAATAGCTTCAGCACCCTCGGTCTTTTTCAGTCGCCCTTCGTACAAGTCCCATTTCTCTGGATTGTCGAAGTAGATAGATGAGATAGCAGAATCCTGCGTCTCAAATTCCTTGCCGGCATTGAAGACCAGCACCGGGAGATGTTTCAAGATGATGAGCTTCAATTCGGTGACATTGTCCGGGTGCACCCAATATTTGGTGGTCTGGCGGACGAAGCTGCCTTGGGAACCGCCGGCGGCGCTATCGCCCTTGACCGGGTTCCCGCGCGTTCGGACATTGTTATACATGTTGGATAATTTTACGACCTCGGCATCGAAGTCTTCGTTATAGAAGGGCTTGTTTTGAGCGCGGTGTCGAACGAGGGTCGGAGGTGCCAGTCAGTCATTTTCTACAAGACGCGTTAGTTCACCCGCGAAACCGCACGGATATTGAGGTGAGGGCACAAACGTCGTGCTTCTTGATGATCTTATAAAAGCCCGTATAATTCAGCTGGACGTATTTGGCCAAGTCATGGACATCAGCAATGATGTCGCTCAGGTCTTCCTCGAGCAGTATGAACTCTTCTTCGGAAGGGCCTTGTTCCGTCAAGCCCCTCTCCGTGACCTTGGCGACGACCTCCTTCACTTCTCGCTCACTGACAGCTATGCGACGTTGTATTTCTGATTGCTTAACCTTGGTTTTGGTATAGACTTTCTCAAGCTCGGCATAGAGTCTAGCAATAAAACGCTGCTCATCCTCCTCTGTCCATTTGTTCTTCCGCTGGCCTCTGGCCTTGGCCTTTCCCTTTTTGTCCGTCGCGCTCAAGGGAGCTACGTGGGAGCTTTGGTCCATATATAGGAGAGGCCCAGAGGCGATCTTCAGCTCGTTTTTGAGGCCATCGTAGTCGATATAGTACCACTGGTACTCGCGAATGATGCTCGAGCGGAGCTGCTCACCGAACTTCATGACGATTAACCCTGGACGGGCGCGCCACCTGTACTTAGGATCGGCGCTTCGGGTAGAAAGCCAGGAAGTCTTCTTCGTTTTCAGGTCTTGTATAATTAGCATGAGATGAACACGGTACAAACGTCATCCGGTCTCAATAGCAGCGTGGACATACGAAAGCAGGGAATCGATTAGTCAATAGACGGGGGGAAAGGAAGCCACTTTCGACTATCCAATACTTATGTGTAGAGAACCAACTTGCTTTTGTCACGTACTCCTGGCACAATGCGGGCTGTTAGGTTTCCGAATGCATACGCGAGAGGAACCACAAGGAACGAGACGAGTTAACGATAGAAATACTTGAGGTGGGAAGAATGGATGGAAATGCGAAATGCTACCGAGGAGAGGCAAGGGGCTAGCTCTAGGTACCCACCTGTCTACTTACTACTTTAGGCAAGTACTCCTGTACGTTTTGGCAAGGCTGGCTTCCGTTGCTTCGTAATCACTTAGTCATCTAAGGGTATACAAAACGTTAAAAACTCAGCCTGAACTGCTAATTAATTAAGAAAAGATTTCAGTTTTAAATATATAAAATAATAAGATTTTTATAAAGCTCGTTTCATAGATAAATAAATAAATACTCTAATAAGGAAATAAGTAAGTGTTATATAATAAGCTATGCTTAATAATAGAGCTCTAGTTAATACTAAGGCTTAGTATATGATTATCTTCTTAATGTTACGGTTTTAAAGGCTATTTGCTACGTAAAAGTTATATATTAAGGAGAAGCAGCGTGGGCACGCTGACGGAGGCACGAAAACGGCTACCCAACTGCCAACAACTGGCCCAGTGCCGATTAAACCTAGATCACAGCTGTAAACAGCTGATCAGTTGATCGGCCAACTGAAAACGGCAGCTGGGAAAGGAAAAGGAAAGAGAGACTAGAGACGGGCAACGAAGATAGCTAGAAAGGCATGGCAAGAAACGAGTGAATGGCTGTAGGTCGTGATAGCTACAGGTCTAAGTCTAACTGATGAAAATATAAGTGCGCGACCCATATAAATAGACATCGAAAAAGCTACGTAGCCTAGATCCACCGCACCACTACAATACCTAAACGTAGCGATTCAACGATATAGTATACGATATAATATAGATATTAATATTAATAGTATAAATAAGATTAATAGACTAATAACTACTAATAACCGATAGTTTTAAGGAGAACTAGGAATTAATATTAATAAGACTACGTAGATATAAAGAATTAAAGAAACGGAACTAAAATCGAATTAATAGGTATACCTATATATAAGCTAGCCTTATATTATTAACTAATATCTAATATAACGAGAAATACTAATATAGGCGTAAAGCGGCGCTTAACGGTAATACTACTGATATTATTAAATAGCCCCCGTTAAATCGAAACCGGCCTATAGCTATAACCGATATCGTATCTAACGTGATCCTTTATTTGGGATCTATCCCTTATACGTATTACTTTAACGAAGGTTATACGTTAGAAGTTCTAAACCTTAATAAAAAGGACTATGGTTAACTTATTTATAATAATTAAACTTTTAGTCCAAGGAATACGCCTCGTACTCTAGTTAGGCGTTGACCGATTAGAGAAGTTCGTATAATATCCAGACCTTATCGATTAAGATAATATAATAGATAATAATATACCTATACTAGAGAAAAAGTATTAGGATATAGATAATAGCTATCTTATCTTTACCTTTATGTTAGATAATAAGACCCCTACTACTTCTTTTTTTACTTTATACCTCGTACCGTTAAACTAAACGGAGTCCGTAACTAAGAAACGAAATAAATCGCTATTAAGCCCCGAAGTAATAAAGATTAAACCATTAGTAAAGACCTTAAGAGTCGATACTAACTCTCTCTTTTTTATCCACCCGAAGAAAAGGAGGATAACGATAAAACTCTTATTTAATTACCCCTTATTCGTAGCTTTATATTTATCCCGTTAATTACTATGGTATTATCTTAAAATAATAATAACGCAGCCTTTAGTAATTAGAATATACTGATAGTTACCCTGATTATCGTAATACTAACTTTTAAATTCCTAAACCCTACCAATTACCCGAGGCTTAAGTTTAGTAAAAGTAACGTAACCTAATAATTAGAAAGGGTAGATCGATTATTTAACCGCTACCGTATAAGCGACGACGATAAGATTAAAGAGATCGGTGAATAGATTACGATTAAGATTATTAAGGCGTATTAACGACGTTATAAAGGATTAAACGATTTAGAGAGTTATTATTATAGCCTTGAAGTACCGTTTTAGGATTACTAATAAACTAAGCTAAGTTAACGTTAAACGAAAACTCGTAGCGCTAGAACGAGGTAACGTAATTTACGATCTTAAGGTAATCTTTACTTATCTTATAAACTATAAACGTCTTTTAAGCTCACGAACGATAACGGAAAGCTTCCCTAGAAAGTAGGATACCTAACCGATAAACTCCTAATGTCTTTGATTATAAAGTTCTATAAAACGAAAGACTATAACTATAATAAGATCGGAGATCGACTACCGGATTCTTTATACCTAGGTTTATAAGTAAGTAGAACGTCGTATAATGGTATAAATTACCGATAGGAACTAAGCCGAAGAACGATAATAATATAAAACGGTAACTTTCGAAGAACCCGAGAAACATATAATATAAATAGTTTAATAATTAGCGATTCCTAGCTTTTAAATACCTTTACTACCGCCTTCCTCGTAGCTTAGACCTTCTTACGGTACCTAAGTATTAGTTAAGAAGTTAATATATAGGCCTTTTACGACCGACTTAACGCTTTAGAGATAAAATAACTTCGTAGAACTACCGTTAAGAGAGTAGCTCTTATAGTCCTAGGGATACGTACGGCGTCGATTAATAATATTAATAGGAAAACCCGTTCTTAATAAACGCGGTTCGGAACCTAAGTCTTTATAACCTATAAACTAACGGAAGAACCCTAGTAGGTTCTAGACGTAGTACTATATTAAACTACCGAGGCATACGTAATAAGATTCTATTAACTTAATCGAGTAACTATAGAAAATTCGAGTATTAGTTTTATAATACTTTCGATCGGCTTTATAATTATACTTATTACTTACTACTAACGGATATAATGTAGAATCGGTTCTACTATAGGAATAAAAAGTAATATACTACCTCGAGAACGGAGACCTAAATAAGCTAGAGTTAATACTAATCCTAGAATCGATTATTATTTAAGCTAAGCGTAAAGAAGAACCGATCGCTTATTATATTTTATTTTACGTATATTAAAGTAAGGAATCTCTAAAGTAAGTACGTAGGATAGTATATTATTATCTAACCGAGAAGCTAAAGCTTATATCCCTTAACCTACGATACTCTAAGAATAAGAAAGTAGTATTAAAGTAAGAAGAGATACTAAGAGCTATATTAAAGATTAACGTTATTTAAATAGTCGAACGTAAATATAACTACGAATTATACGAGATTAAGATCTTAGGTTATAGTTAAATAAAGAGACTTATTAACGACGAAGGTATTTATTATTATAAGGGTATTATTAAAACGAACTTAGTCGAAGTTAACGTAGTTAAGCGAGCTAGAGGTCCTAACGGCGAGTATATCGAGAGAGAAGTACCCGATTAGGAAGATATAGAAGTCCTATCGTTATAGCTTAAGCATGGACTAACTAAAGCTAGTAAGAACGCTACTATAAATACGAACGACTAAGCTAGGAATAAAGACTATTAACGAATTATTAAAGGAGTTTTAATTAGATAAGATTAATAAAAATAATAGAAAACGTTTCGAAGTTTCGTAGAACGACCTAATTAAGTTTATACCCGGGTTTTCGGAATAAGTAGTTAAGTACCTTACGATACGCGCTATAAAGATTAACGAAGGTTAGTTTAAAGTTATTAAGATTATAAAGAAATACGTATAAAAAGATTGGAAAGAAAGTATTAAAATACCTAGCGTACTATAAACTACCGCCTCGTTTATTAATCCTTTAAGTAAAATATCGGTAAATTTTATTATCGTAAAGGATATTAGGAACTATATCCGGCCTTTCTTTAAGCTAGTAATTAACGTAGGACCTAACGGAACGAAGCTTTCGTATCTACGGTAATCGATATAGGAGCGTAGTTTAATATAATCGTAGAAACTACGTAAAGAAGTAACGTCTCCTTATAACCGGTACTAAGGCGATATAGCGAGGTTTTAGATCCTTTATAGAAATCCTATACGTAGGAATAATCGACGGTCTTATCTAGCTCGCTAATTATTACTTCCGTTTACTAATTTACGTCATTAAAAATAAGTTCGTTAGTTATCCCTTATTACTTAGTATAAACTTTATGTTTTAATCCTATATGAAATTCGAATTCGACGGAAGTACCTTTATAGAAACCGTTAACTTTAGCTCGGCCTAGATAATAGTCCATCTTGCTATCGACTTAAGAAGCGATACGTTACTAAGCCTTATATTCGGCGATTAGGAAAACTAGATGCTATTAATATCCTAGGCCGCTTAATAATATATATAGGCTTAAAAACGCGTTCTTAGTCGAGTACTTAAAAGCGACGCTAGCCTTTAAGTTAAAATTAATTATACCCGCTTTTACGACGACGATATAGAGGTAATACCTATTTCCGAAGCTAAGGACTTATCGGCCTTTGAATTTAATTTGGATAAGGGAGATAAGGCGATCGCTAGATTAAGCGACGAAGAATTCCTTTACGTCTTTAGTAAAGCCGTTACGAAGGTAATTTAATATACGACGTAGGAATCGAAATAACATAAGCGAAACCTAGCCCTTATTTCGGAATTAACTTACTAAGTTAAACGTACGATTTTAGTTAATATTATATATAAACTTAAGTCGCGTAAAGTTTAACTCGTAAATAACGTACGGTTAAATGGCTAGATACCGCTAGAAATATTAAATTAAAAGGATTATATATTAAGGGAGGTTAAATCGAAGTACG